ATGCCCATGTCCCAAGCCCACGGCGTTTCCTCTTGAACAGAAAAAGCTCCTCTTGCTTCTTGCTCCAGGAATCACTGCTGTTTCTTTTGGGCAAAGTGAGGCAGAAGGACCATCCACAAATATCCAGCCCCTACTGACAAATTCACTACTCCTCAAGAGGTGGCACTTACCTGCACCCACTGTTCAGACACACAGAGAAGTGAAGGTGACGTCCTGGCAAGGTTGATCCTTACCTTATGTACACTTTTGGGATTTTCCAGCCAAGCATAATACATTTCCTCCACATAGTTTGAACTAGTCCCACTCAGAAATGGCTCGGCAGCCACGGGTGCACTGTAGCACCTGAGCTGTTGGAACGTCCTGGGTGCTGCCGGTCTGTGTTGGGAAATTGTCTTTACAGTCTGTGAGGCCGTCAACGGCCTCAGTTTTGCTGCACAAGTCCTTAAGTTAAGCATTTTTGTCCTGTTGCCTCACGCAAGCTCCTGTCGAGGGAGAACAGAAAAGTGGGTTATTAATTACTGCAGGAGAGCACTGAACAGAGACCACCCCCTACCCGAGCACAGAGAATCAAGCTTAGGATCAGTTTTTAATTTGCATTAATCCATCCACCCTGTCCCACAGCGAGGTCTCTGATGGCTTGGAAATGCAGTTTTTGCTCAGTACACTCAGCACTGCCAGGTCTGCCTCTCCTATCCCTGGCAGCATGGTACCATCACCTCCCCTGTCACAACAGTGCAATGCAAATCTGCTTGGTGGGTACCCAACAACGGCCTCGAATGAGCCACTGCACACCAAAGCCACCCACATCTCTTGATTTCAGCTTCTTCCATCACTCTCCTTCCCAGGTTGGTCTAGGCTTCCTTTCTATGACCACTCTGCTTGGCTGAGGTTTTCTTCTTAGTTTGCTGTGATGTGCACCAGGGTAAAGCTGGTAAGAAACTGTCTACAGAGAAAATTGCTTGCAAAGTAGGGGTAGAGTAGTGCAAAGCACTTGAGAACTGGGCTCCAAGAAAGACTGCTGCTCCTCAAAAGCCCAGACCCAAGAACATCAGTGCAGGTGAAAGACCCAGAGAGGGGCTCTCCCCTGCTCAGAGAACCCAGAAAAGTAACCCGGAGCTGGTAACCCGGACCTTGGAGAGGTCCCACCTTGCAGCTTTCCACAGGGCATGTACTGGGAGGCCTGGGGTCAGCCAGAGGGTGTTACACACATCCTACCAACCACAGTAGCCCAAGGAAAGCGCTGGAAATCATCCTGAAGGAAGTGCAGGCACTTGGAGCAACTCTTCTTGGAGCTGCCCTTTCCACCCAGCTCCTCCTGCAAGAGGCAGGACCCAAGGCTAGAGGTGACCTAGCTGGCTGGTTTCCATAGCACAGACCAGTCCAACGAGCAGCAGCCCAATGGCAAAGCAGTTACCACGGTTCACCAGATTAAAATGAAATTTCACAAGGGACTAGAGAAAACAACACACCGTCACAGCCAGCAGTTTGCTAGCCAGCCTTCCAGCTGAATCTAGTTCAGACACTGATCTCTCCCCTGTAGTGACCAACAACAGGACCCGAGGGCTGCATCAGGGGAGGTTTAGGTCAGATATTAGAAAAAGGCTCTTCACTCAGAGGATGTCTGGACACTGGAACAGCCCCCCCAGGGGAGTGGTAAAGCCTGAGAGTTCAAGAAGCATTTAGGCCGTGCTCTCAGGCACAGGGTGTGACTCTTGGGATGGTCCTGTGCAGGGCCAGGAGTTGGACTTGGTGATCCTTGTGAGTCCCTTCCAACTGAGCATATTCAGTGATTCTGTAGCTCTGGCTGCCCAGCATGGCAGGGGCTAGACTCCCCATTGCAAACTATAATGTTTTGGTTCAAAGAGCCTGAGGAAGACCCAGAGTCACCTGAATTCAGACAAAGTGTTTGACAGATTTACCCATAGGATAAAGGGAACCACTTGTCATTTCCATCTTGCCCACAATAACACCTGGCAAGAAAGGCCAGCAGGTGCAGGACCACAAGTGCCACAGCACTGGGGATTCTCCCAGTTCACCCTCATCAGATCTACACAGCAAAACACACACTGTTTTTTTTCTGAAAGGCTAAGAAAGTCAGGGATGTTCAGCCTAGAGAAAAGAAGGCTCCAGGGAGTCCTTAGAGACCCACGCAGTCTCTAAAAGGGCTCCAGGAGAGCTGAGGAGGGACAAGAGCCTGGAATGACAGGACAAGGGGGAATGCCTTCCCACTGCCAGACAGCAGGGTTAGATGGGATATTGGGAGGAAATTATTCCCTGTGAGGGTGGTGAGACCCTGGCACAGATTGCCCTGGATCCCTGGAAGTGTCCAAGGCCAGAGTGGATGGGGTTTGGAACAACCTGGGGTAGTGTAAGGTGTCCCTGCTTATTGGGGGGGGGTGGAATTGGATGATCTTTAAGATCCTTTCCCACTCAAAGCATTCCATGATATCTCAGAGAGCCAGCTGAATCCAGTGCCAGAGCACAGCCATGCATATGGCAGGGAAAAAGCTTTAGGACAGAAGTAGCATCATCATCATCTCCAGTTTCATATCCAGTTTTGATGCTGTCACTCAGCAGCATCCCGTGACCTCTCTGGATAACAGTGAGGTTAATGCCAGAGTTTGACCCAAAGCGAGCAGAACTAGCTGCTCTTTGAAGGTCTCTTGCAGGAAAGGTTAGCTAGGAGCCTTTCTACCCTAGGACAGAGACAGGCAAGCTTGGAGCTGGGATGATTGCAAGCTAGATCGAAGTAGAGAACCAGAAGGAAGGACGTAGGAAACCAAGTCTGAGATAAGGGATATCAGGGTCACACAGGAATGCAAAGGTCACACTGGGAGTGACGCCTGAGGAGCATATGGAGAGGCAGCCAGCCACAGCCCAAACCTCACCAAAAGGTCACACCTCAGGAATGCCCACAACAGATGACGGCTGGAGTGCGCCAATAAGCAGATTAAAGTACTAAATGTGACCCACCCGCAGCCGGGATGGGGACGGCGGCCCAGATGGCGGGTGCTTGGTAAGGACTGCGACTTAGGAACACTTTCTAGGTTAAAAACAGCACAAGTTCCACCTTCCAGGAAGCGGTGGGGCCAGCGCCACCGGCTGTGGACACAGCTGATCCAGCACCGGGCACCTTCGGGCCCGCGGCAGGCGAGGGCCTCAGAGCGGGCGGGGGCCGGGGCAGACCCTCCGTGTCCGCTGCAAGGCCGGCCCAGCAGAGCCCTCCAGTGATGTCGGGAGGCGCCGCGAGCTGGGGCGGCATTCCCAGAGCGCGTGGACGGACCGGAGCGGCCCCGCGGAGGGCCCGTGGCACCGTGAGGCGCCCTGAGGCGCGCGGGAAGGGGCAGCGGGACCCCCGCCCCCGACAGAGCGCCAGGCCCGCCCCCGCCCGCGCCCCCCAATCAGCGCCCGCCGCCGCCGCCCGGGCTCCGCGACCCTCGCCGTCTATAGGCCCGAAGAGAACAGCCGAGCCTTCCCATTGGCCGCAGGGCAGCCCGTCTGGCCGCCGTCCCGCCCCCCTCGCTCCCCTCCTCCCAGGCGCCCGGGCGGCGCCAAGGACACCGGGGCGCGACCGCCGGCTACCGGCCCAGCGCGGCCGCCGGCGTGACCCCCGGCCCGCTGCAGCCCCGGCTCCGGCTCCGGCCCTCCCGCCCGACGAGGTCCGGCCCCACCGTCCGGCCCTGCCGCGGAACTCACCGGCGTGTCCGTACGCCCCGCTCGTGGTCCCGGCTCTGACAGCGGCACCGACCGCCGCTCCTTCCCCGCCTCGCCCCGCCTCTCCCGTGCGTCAGCACGTCGCGTCACGCGGCCCTTTTGCCACGCCCTCCGATCCCGGCCCAATGCGTCTGCGCCGGCCGGCGTGCAGCGGTGGGGGGGCCGGGCCCGGGCTCGGGCTCGGGGGCCGCTGTGCGGGCCGGCGACCCCCGGCATGGCTGGGGAACTCTCACCACGGCCAGGACACCTTGTATGGCCCGGGGACACCCACCGTGGTTCATGGCTCTCGGCCCTCATCGTGGCTTGGTGACTCTCACCATGGCTTCAGGACCCCAACCGTGCCCTGGGGGCCTCTGCCATGCCCTGGGACCACCACTGTATCGTGGAGAACCCCTTGCTCTGGGGCACCTCAGGCTTTTGGGGATATCCAGCCATGTGGGATGCCCAGCAGGGCACAGGAGGTGCTCTGGGAACTCTGCTTTTCTGGCAATTTCCTGGCAGTGAGTCATGGTGGTGCAGTCTCGGGCACAGGAGTGTGCAGGGCTGGATGGCACTTTCAGGAAGTGAAACGGGTGCCAGGAAAACACCCCAACAGCCCGAGTCCACGCAAGCCTGGCCACGCACATCCCCGGCCCTCCCAGCATGGTGCAATCTCCGGCACACCGGATGGATGTGACGATGAGGAAGGCCCCTAAAGGCCATGTCTCTGAAGGCCATGTCCCCAGGTCACAAGAAACTGAGCGGACAGCAGGGTTATGAGTAGAAAAGTTGTCAATTTATTAAAGGTTACAGAGTTCACAAGCCAATTGCTGCCACATTGGAGTTCTAACTATTTGTTGTTAATAATTTCATGTTGTAATCCTCTGTTGTTAATAGTTTTCCTTTAATTACCTGTTCCTGATGGTTAGTAATCCCCCTTTGGCACCCGGGACTACCAAGAGGAGGGGACATCGGGGTTGGCATGCAAATGAGGAAACCCCTCACCAAATCTAGCAGGAAAAACCCCTAAAAAACCCGAGACACGGTGGAATTAAGAGATCAAAGTGATGCCTAGATGTGAGGAACAGAATCCAGTATCCGCTAAGACTGGATACTGGAAGGGAATCCAGTTTCCCTTTTTACCCCTCACCCTAACCTAAAAGATGTCGGCTAAAAGGGGACCTCGAATGTCAAACCCAAAAATTGGGAATCCTCTGGTGTTCTGAAGCCTCAGCTCTGCCTGCAGACCAGCAGACACAGCTGCACTCTTCTTCCTCCCCCGTGCCGCTCCTGGGAGCAGTGGCGGCATGAGTGCGGTGTGAGTGCGACCCGTCAGTTCTCCCCACCCGAGCTGATTTTTAATAAAGGCATTAAAAAGGAGAAAGATCTCCTTCCCTATTTATTTCAGCAGGGTCCTGCACCCACTGGTGTTGGGGCAGTGCGGACAAGAGGGGTGACATAGGAGGCACAGCTGGCCATGGTACCAGGAGTCTGGGCAGTACGGGAGGAAGCTGTGGGGAAATGGTGGAGAGGCAGCGCTTGCATCACCAGCCACGTCCGGGACACCCACAGTCCCCGGCCCTGACAGTGACAGTGTTGTCACAGCTGGGCTGGTGCTGGGACTGGGGTCGGAGCTGGCTCTGAGTGATTCCAACTCCCTGCTGTGTCAACCAAATGGCAGATTGGCACATGGTCACAGGCCCCACACATCAACGCCAAACACCCCTCTGCTCTCTGCCCCACACACCAGCCCTGGAGCATCCTTCTGCTGTGCCCCACAACCCAGCTCTGGCTCATCCCCAGCTCTGACCCATATCTGGTCCTGGAGTATCTCCTGCTCTGCTCCACGCTCTGTCTCCCCACTGCACTGCTTGGGGGCAACCAGCCCCCCCCAGCCCTCCAGTCTCAACAGAGTGATTGGGCAAAACCAGGCGTTGCGAAACCTGGAAATCCCACTCTGACGGTGCTTCCTTCTACAGGCTCTTGAAAACCAGCCACGCTGACGCAGGGCTCAGCAGCCAAGCAGCACTGCAGGCAGGACAGGCAGGAGCAGGCAAGCAAGTGCCTCAGAAGTTTGCAGGTGCTGTGAAGTCTCAGCCCAGGACTCTGCAGTTAGTGGCAGCAATGGCATTCGTGCCTGACTTGGACACGCTGGAGAGCAGCAGGTAAGAATAGACATGCCAGAGAGGACTTTGGGGATGTGAGGCTGCATTCCTGACCCTGACTTCACCACGTCCCTTTGCCTTTCAGCCTGAATGAGGAGACGTTGTATGGCCCCAGCTGTCTGTGCCCGCAGAAGGTAAGGCTGTGGTGGTGGGAGTGGTGGGGTCCGTGTTGTATGGAAGCCAGGCTCTCACCCTACATCCCCTTTCTTCCCTAGAAGACCCGGCTGAACTTGGAGGGGACATCGCCTGGGGTGGGCATCCAGGTGACAGTGACAAAAGGACCCCTTTCCAGGACCTTTCGCCAGGCTGCCGTCCTGGTGGTGGCTGTGACCAAGCTCTTGAAGCAGCCAGCACGCAAGGACTTTGCAGACAGTGACCTTGGCAGCTTCTTGGATGATATTTTCGGTATGAGGGTGATGTCAGGGCTGGCACCCCAGCCAGAGGGTATTGTTGGGGGACATTCTTGGACCTGAGAGCAGCATCCTCCTGACTGTCTCTCTCCCCACAGAGCCTGTCTCCTTCCAGTGCATCAAGAGCAGTTATACCAGGGCACCCGTTTTCCGCTACACTCGCTCCCAGTCCTTCGACATCCTGGACATTGACCACAAGTGCTTCGTACTGGAGTCACCCACCCAGCTGGTGGCCCTGCACCTGCAGGGACCCTCTGCTGGACAGAAAGGTGAGAGCATATGGTCCCATGCCAATGTCCCTGTCCCCAAACCCTGGACCACCCAGAAGCCACTCCACAAGCCCAGGAGCACCCCTTTACCTGTCCCTTCTCTCTGCAGTGAAGCTCAACATTGCTCTGTACCGTCCCCGGTCATCGCAGGGCGCTCCAGGCTCTGGGAGGGTGCCGGTGGCCTTGGGCATCAAGGGCTACCAGCTCTACATGTCATGTGTGATGAGTGGCACCAAGCCCGTGCTGCAGCTGGAGGTGAGCAAGGGGTCCCAGCAGTCTGTCCTCTGTGGGGCTGGGGGCTCCATTCCACCTTTGTCTTGGTTCAGGGCAAATTTTGGAGAGAACTTTTAATTTTTAACTCATAAAGTCAACCTATGGACAACCTTGACCACCATTTCACCCCTCTGGCTGTAGGAAGCTGACATCAGGAGGGATATTGAGAGCGTGGAGCTGACCCGCTTCATCTTCTACCGCCTGGACAGCCCAGCTGAGGGGACCACACGCTTCGAGTCGGCCGCCTTCCCCGGCTGGTTCGTCTGCACATCCCTGCAGCCCCGCCAGCCCGTGGGCATCACCAACACCCCAGACCAGGTGAACATCGCTACCTACGAGCTGAGCGGGCGCTGAAGACCCTGCACCAACCCAACCCAACCGGCAGTCACCGGTTTTCAGGCTGTATGTACTAAGTACAACCCCTGGGACACAACCTCCCTCCTCATCTATTTCATGTGAAATAGCAGCTCTAGGCCCCATGGGCTCGAGCCATCCCAGTCTCTATATTTGTATTTATTTATTTATTGTGTCTTCCCATTGCTTTGGTACTTACTTGTTGTACCCCTTATTTATTTTTGCTTTTAACTTGTATGTGGATGGAGGTGGAAATAAAAAGTTTTCTAGGACAGCATAGCTCAGCTCATTACTCATGGGGGATGCAGTTACGGATGGGAAAATCCTTCTGCTTTGGCTGCTTTTTGGGTGAAAATCCAGGGCATGGGGGGCCACCCCACAGCCCAGGGACCACCCTGACCCATGCAGGACCCTCCACCACTCTGTCTCCGTGCCCGCACCACAGCTGGGAGGTGACAGAGGTGGGCATCCCATAGTGGATCCCTGTCAGCTGCCTGAAACTGTCACCTCTGCCCCAGCTATGGCCAGCAAATGGCAAGGTGGGCCACAGTGCAGCAGGACAACGAGTAGCGTGGCATTACAAGGTGTGGCATGATAGCACATAGTACCATGTGGGGCACTATATAATACAATGTCACATCACACCATGTCTTATCATGTGGTCAAACAATGGTGGTTGACCACATTGGTGGTTTGGTGGTAGTGACCACAGCATCCCAGAAATCTCATTTCCAGTCAAACGACCACAGATAGATACTTATTCTGTGCCAAACCCACGCCCCTACATCTGAGGGGCCGCAAGAGCAGTCAGGGGAATGCGTACAAGGCAGTCTGCTCCTGCTGGGAACCCTCAGGGGCTCCTGGGCGGATATGAACTCAAGCCCTCCAGCTCTGTCACTTCTGGCAAAGCCTTGTTTTTCCTGAAGAAGAAGAGAGTGTCCTCCTCAGCAGCCAGGATTTCACTGAGGGATGACACCACAGGGTCATGGTCCTTTAGCATCTCTGGGTAGCGACTGCGAGCCCTCTCAGTCCGCAGGGAGCGCCGCACAGGGGTTAGGAATTTAAATTCTCTGTGTTCTGGCAATTCCCTTCCTCTGTGGAGAGAAGAGCCTCAGGTAAACCCTGCAGAGGACCACGGGCATGCAAGGGTGTGTGCTGCCCAGAGCAGGAGGTTCAGCCTTACCTGGTTGCTGATGTAACCTGTAACTTGACTGAGGGGGGGAGGGAGGTCATGTGCCTCCCCACCAGGCCTGGAGTTGATGCTACAGGGTGCCTCTCAGCGGGACATGGTGTGGTAGGTTCCCGAGGAGTGGCTTCTTCTTCCTTTGCTCCTGGCAGAAAAAGGAAAAGCGTTGTTGTTATATTTCTAGAGTCCCATACCTTCCTTTGGTGTTTTCTTATGGCTGTAAAACTTCACAGCACAGACTCCTTCTTCTGCATGTGGTTCCTTCTTAGTCAGGGCTCCTTCCAGGCTCTCCCTGACTGCCCAACCCACCCCTTTTATCCCAGCTACCTTCACTAGCCACAGCTGCAGCCCAATGAAGGACACTGCAGCTGCAGGCCATCAAGATCAACTGGGACCTACTGGGGCAAGGCCTACAGACAGATATTGAAGTACAATACAGATATTTTACTGGGACTCAAAGGCCACCTCTACTATAGAAAAGGGCAGCACAGTTACAGCACTGGCTAGGGGTTACACCTCGGCACTCTGGACAGGGGCAGAGGCTTGCAGGGCCAGGACCCTCCCTGGCTCAGGCAGAAGAACAGTGTCCCATTTTCAGATCAGGATTCCAGAGTTTCACAACACTCCTTAAGAGGGACACGAGGTGCTGGGACAGACTGTAAACCGTGTTGCCTCCAGGCTGGCAACACCAGGGAGTGCCCATGCTCATCAACCCCACAATGCTCAGGTTACCTTCCAGTTTTTGGCCTGCATCCTTCAAAATATTGAGAGCAGTTTCTCGGAGATCTTCAACTGGCTGCAGGAAAAGCAGAACACGGGTCAGGGCAGGTCTGGCATGGGAATGGAGACCAGAGTTAGAGGTGAATGGGAGGAAAGGCTTTTGCCGCTCAGCCTATGCTGAGGATAGGAAGAGGCTGCAGTATTCCCCTTTGCCCAGTGGCTGGATCCATCAGCACCCAGCACAGCTGGCCAGGTGCCCACCCAGCATGGGCACATCCTGCAGCATGGAAGGGACTGGCAGCTCTAAAAGACTTTTTCACCAGTGACTAATGCTGCTAAATGCATTCCAAAACCCGGCCCCTGGATCTTGTGGAACCCTTCCAGAGCAGAGGCAGGGAACACTCACCTCAGCCCCAGCGCTGACTGCTTCTCTGTACAGCTGCAACACATCAAAGGGGCCACTCCGGGCCAGCAGCTTTGCCTGGCAGATCCAGAATTTGGCAAATTTCTCTGCCTGGGGCACAAGGGACAGCACTGTTGAGATCTCCTCTGCATGGACACCCTGCAAGGAGAAGGGTAAGGGTCTGAAGAAAGGTGTCCATGGCATGGACGAGTGTGTGCACCAGGAGGAAGCAGACCGTGCCTGACCACAGCTCACAGCACTCTCCAGGAGGAGGCCCTCAAAAGTCTGGCTTTGCAAATCTCCTATCCCTCCCTTGGATAATTTGGTCTAGTATTCCAGAGGGGTGTCAAAGGAGAGAATCCAGTGCTGGCATAACTGGGGCCAGTAAACCCTGGAGCAGGGCTAGTGGTCAGTGTTGGTCTGGTCTCTCCCTTCTCCCAGTCAGCTCACTATTGTATTCATATTGCTGTTATTGTATTTCTGGAGTCCCGTACCTTATGAGCAGTTCTTCCCAGCAGTGTTGTTCCTGCTGCTTCGCCAGGGCTCCTCCAAGGTTCTCCCTGACCAGAAAGCCCAGCCCCTTTTATCCCAGTTATCTTCATTCGCTACAGCTGCAGCCCAATTAAGTACATCACAGCTGGAGCTCATTTAGAACAACTAGGATTGGGGCACAGCCACTTACACAATACATACATTTTACAAGGACTCCTACTACAGCTCACTGCCTGCCTTTGGCCTACCCATAACTTCAGGAGCACTTGTATTTTCCTATGTTTCCCCTCTTGCCACTGAACACTTGTTCCCAACCCCTCTTAGCTACTGGAGGGAAATGGCCCTCGTCCCCTGGCAGGCTTTAGGAGAGGAGAAGCTCATTTAAGCAGCTCCTTCCCTATTCTCACCTCCTCAATGAGCTGCAGGCACTCAGTTAATACGCTGTTTGCCTGGGCTCGGAAGTGCTGCTCTGGATTGTCTTGTTTCTCGGTTGGCTTGCCCTTTCTGCAGGATGGTATCACCGCCTGCTTCATCAGCAACCTCATCGGCGGCCGCTTGTACGTCCTGCCTTTGGCTGCCAACCACTCCTCCAGCTGTTTCCTGCCCAAAGACAGAGAAATCACAGTTACCACAGCAGACAGTAGCTTAGCAAGAGCTGGCTGTTTTTCCTCGGAGTCTTCCTTTAGCCAACTTCAGCTGCTTAAAAAGAATCAGTATATCTATCTCAGAAACACACCTGAGCTCTAGGATTGGGAGAGGAAATCACACTCAAGCCGAAGCCTTGAGGCTGGAGCAGGAGAGTGGCCACACACTCTCCTTGCACTCACTGAAGTGGTGGGAGAGAAACCCAGGGTGCCACCCAACATTAACCCCAACCCCTTCTTTTTCAGGCCATCAACCCCCCCACAAGCTTTTGCTCATAAAAGACTTTGGACTCCATTTCCAGCAGGATGGTGCTGGCTCACTCAGAGCTGCCCCTTACCTGCGCTCATCTGTAGCTGCTGGAGTCCTTGGAACAGGCCGAGCGTGCATGCCACTTGCCTTTGGCAGCTCTGGTTTAAGCTGCAAAGGCTGGTTACTTGTATTTTGTGACATGCTTCTTTATTTTCGCAAGGCTTTCCTGTATTTATTCAGAGCTGGGTCTTCTTTAGTCTGGTGGTTCTATAAAAGAGACACACAAAACTCAGGATGAAAACCTTCCAAACATTCCTCCTTCCCACAACCAAGTTCCCAAGGCATCACAGTAAGACAAAACCTTGGACTCTCAATTCAGTTGCCTGAGCCCCTCAGATCACCAACTCTCAGTCCATCACCACCCTTCAGATAATCAATTCTCAGTTCATCAAGAGGAGAGGAGTCCTTCTTGTGCCGTAGGCTTCCCCTGGAAACACAGTTGAAACTTTGTGTGTTACCATGTCACTTGTGGCACTGCCCGGAGAACATCTGCCATCCTGACATCTTCCGTCCATGTCCAGTGCTCTCACCACTGCACACGAACCAGAGCTGCTTCTAGGGTTTTCCTTTTAAGGGTGCTTTGTCCAGTTCCAAAAAGAGCACAGTCTCTCCCCTTTGGGACACCTGTCCCCCCCCAGATTTCACCCTCTGGGGCCGAGGGGTCTCAACACTGAACTCTCTTGGCTCTGAGCCATTGCCTCCCCCTGGATGCAGTCTCTGTGTCACAGGAAACATGATTCTGTCCATGGCTATACAAGAAAAGTCCAGCCAAATGCCACTCCATCATCTCCTGCCACCTAGAATTCTTCTCAACTTCTCTTGGACATCTTTCACTTGCACAAACTTGCATCACACTTGCCCATTTCCTGCTATTCATCCCTATCTCTCTTCTCATTTAGGAGGAGGATCAGCATTTGTAAGGTTTCAGTCATCCAAGAAAAGGGTTAAAAATCTCAAGCTCTGCCTGTCCAGAACTCCCACGCGGCCCTGCCAAGCGCACCCTCCCCTTCTCCTTCTCAGCCGACCTGCTATCAAATTCCAGGGTGGCACAGGCACCTGCTCTCCCTGTCTCTCTCTCCTGGGTGGGGATGGCTGCCCGATGACTCTCCAACCATCCTCCACCCTTCCATCCTGCAAGGGCCTCTTCACCTCCCCTCTCTGTCCGAGGCCCTACCTCACCCGGCCGCACGGCTTCCCCTCCTGCGCCCGGCCCGCAGCTGGGCAGGGCAGCTCTGAACCCTTCCCTGACCGGAACCAAAGAGAGCTTTCCTGGGAGTCCTCTGCTTCTGACCTCCGTGTTCTCACAGGCCTTTCCATGTCCTCAGTGGCCACTGGGAGAGTTATGCCTCTCTCTGTTCAGAGGATATGTGATTACCACATGGCAAAGCAGCTGTCAACAGAACAATAACACAACAGCCACCGGGACACGGGCAAAGGAGCAGTCTCCCAAACTGAAACTCCTGACTAAGCTAAACTCCTTTGCTAAATAGCTGACAATGAGTCAAACTAGCTGTTTTTCAACCTGTGGTATGTCCCCCATTTGGAGTCAGGATCTCATGACCCTGACTTGGGGATGTGGTTTTCAAAGTTTTCTGAATTGCAGCCAGGATGAAAAATTGTTATGACTAAAGTACGTTCTCTTGTGACCCTATTAAGCAGTGATCCTGAGTGAGACCTTTTGAGCTCTCTTGGACTGCTGTGGGCTGTGACCAGCATCTCCTGCTGAGTGAGGCTTCTCAGAGCCAGCAAACTCTCACGTTTGCTGTACTTGGAGGAACATTTGTGTTCTGGTTTCAGATTGATTGGTTTTAGATTTTAGCTTGCTTTTTCTCTATGTGCTTTAACCATCCAGTAAGTAAAGTTAAGCTTGACAATGAATTTTGTTGTGCTTTCACTTTAATATTAAACCTGCTTTGGCCTTTGCCAGTCATTCTTTAAGCAACCACTCACTTAAAGCATGAAAGATTCAAAAGCTTCCTACTTACATGCTTGAGTTTGGAGACCAGTTCTGAGGGTGGGTTTCGATGATAAATCCTGTTCTTTCAAACGGGTCTGTAAAAGTCCAACAAGTTATCAGGTTATTTAACAAATTATCAGGCTATTTATCAGCCATAAAAAAAGCAGAGGAATTAAGTATCTAACCCACTGCTGGTTGTCTGAGACGCAGGAGCTTAGGAGCAGCTTTTAGAAATCAAAAACCTATCAAGGAGTACTACCACATACTATTAATTTTCTTTTGTGTGGCATCAGAAACGCAAGCCATTAACATCCAAGGTTGTCACAAAACTTTTATGGACAACAAAACTGACCAAAATAATTCCTTGTTGAAGATTGCCATGCAAGATATTTTCAATTACCATCTGTATGGCAGATTATCTTTGTCAAGTGGGCAGTTTGCTTTATCTCTCTCTTTGAGTGACCACAATCACACCTCCCTGGGAGGGGACATCTGCGGATAACAGACTATTGAATGCCACTGCATGACTGTAAGAACTATAACATCCCATTGGGAGATGTGAGACCAGAGGGAGGAGCCAAGCATTGCTATCCACATATAATTCAGAAGTTTTTGAATCACCAGCACGGCTTTCTCCCCAGGATTCCCCAGAGGAACAGCTGCTGTCTCTTCTTCCCCTGGATCTTCAGAGGAAGAACACATCCTTCTCTACAGATCCCCTTGCTCCAACAGAACCAGCCCTGACACTGCAGGAGGGCTGCAGCCACAATTCCAATGGGACTGCTACCAACACCCTGACCCACAGCGTGTCAGGTTGGGTTCTGACTCTGTCAGTGTTGTTCTAGTGTACTGCACTGTTTATTTTATCCTTTTTTTTCGTATTAAAGAACTGTTATTTTCTGCTCCCACATTTTTGCCTGAGAGCCCCTTAATTTAAACTTTATAGCAATTCGGAGGGATGGGGAGGGTTTACATTCTCCATTTCAGGGGAGGCTCCTGCCTTCCTTAGCAGGCACCTGTCTTTCCAAACCAAGACATTCCTGCAGGCAGTGGTCTGGCAGGACCGGGTTTGGAGGCTCCCAGACTGCCAGAGCCAGGAGCTGAGATGAGAAAGTTTCAGTGTTTCATAAAATATGCAGAAGAGATACCATCAGCCATTGGGAAACGCCAGCACTCAAACCATTCCTTTGCTCCTGCTGCCAGTAACGACAGACTGGTGCCAGGGTAGAGCCCAGACAGGAGCTGGTTCTTTGTACACAGGCCAGAGAAGGTAGACACTGGTCAGTGGGGAGAGCCAGCTATACCTCAGACCTTTACATATCATCTCATCCAAGCCCAACATCCTCCTAACTTACTTGGCACTTGTGCATTTCAGCCTTTCCTTGGCTACTTGGCAGTTCTGCAGCTGGCTCCTCCGTTAGCTGCAAAGAGATGGCAGGAAATGCATTGCACACAGGACAGTCTCAGTATTTAAAGAACTCATGACATTGGATTTCTGTTACTCTCAAACACTACATTGCACACCTCCCTGCCTGGGGAGCCTGGCAATGCTGTTCCCAGAAACTCCCTTGCACATTATATTGCCCAGAGGCTCGTTGCCACTTAAGCTTCCTGACCTTCACAGTGTGAAGCCACTCAACCCCTCAGCTGGGCAGGGCTCAGTTTGCAGAAGGAAAGGCTTCCACTGAGCCCAAGAGCAGCACGACCCTCCAGCACACTCCCACTCCTCCCAGACCGCGTCCCTGGGCCCGTTTCGTGGGCACCTGCCGCGGATTCACACATCGTTACTCACACCGCCCGCCCTCAGCAGCTTCCCACCGGCCCATCTGTGCCACTTCTGTGCTCCCACAGAACTCGGGCCTCTCCACAAGGTACCCGCCCCACGGGGTCCGCAGCTCCGCCGCACCGCAGGTCCGGCTAGCTCCGTTCTCCTCCGCCCCCACGGCCCCTGGGCCACCCGCACCCCCAGCACCGGGACCCCTCAGACCCCGCTCCCGCCCCTCAGACCCCGCTCCGAGAGTCGCTCACCCGAGGCTCGCTCACCCGAGGCTCACTCACCCGCCGCTCCCGCCGAACCGCCGCCGGCACTCCCGACAACCTTCGCGCTGCCGTTATTAGCCACCGCCTTCTTCAAAGCGACCAATGAGGAGAGCCAAGCGCCGGCCGTGGCTCTGTGATTGGCTGGGCGGGGCGTTGCCCGCGGTGACAGATGCCGCGCCGTGACAGGCCGTGTCGTGCCGTCCCGAGCCGGGCCACGCCCTGCTGTTAGCAACGGGACACGCGCCCGGGACTAAAGGGATTTCAGCATTTATTATCATTTAAAATAAGGCCTAAAGCATGATGGCCTGTGGGCCGAGCAGGAACGTTCCCGTGGGGGATGCTGCAGTGCTGGCGCTGGATTTGTTTGAGCAGCGATGTCCCCGATGTTCCAGGTGGAGCGGCACGGATTCACTGGGTCAGATGCCCCTTTTTATCCTGTTTTCTGTCCGTTTGGATTGGTTTCTGTTTGGATCCTTCATTTGCAGGAAGGTTTAAGGCACTTGATTGGCCATTACAGTTCAGTCTAGGCTGGCTCGTGGTGCACTTTACTGAGGTGTGTTATGGCACGGTGAGTACCGTATTTCTTACAACTGCCCTTTTAACCCCTTGTTCAATATAATAACCAAACAAACAGTACATGCTTAACAATCTATCAACTATTTTGCACAGTTTCTAACCTATTTTTGACAGCACCACGGCACGGTGTGTGATGCTATGCCACATCTGGCCATGCTGAAATAAACAGGGCAAGGAGATTTCTTCTCCTTTTTAATGCCTGTATTAAAAAGTGATCAGCTCGGGACTGGGCAGCTCGGACGGGGCTGCAGTGCGGTGAAAGAGGTCAGAGCTCTGCCCTGCCCAGCTGTCTGCTGCTGGGTGGGGGAGAGGAGAGCCGCGCGGCCTGGGGGAGGTGCCCTGACCCTGAGGGGCCCAAGGGTGGAGGAATGGAAGGAATGGAGGAGCACGAGAGGTGGAGGTGTTCTACCCGGCCCCCCCCTCGGGAGACGGAGAGAGAGAAGGCAGCCTGTGCTTGTTACCTTGAAATTCCAGCTGCGGAGAAGGACTGGGGGAGGGAAATTGCCGCGAGGTGTCCAGCCGAGTGTAAGTGCTTTTAACCCTTTTGTGGATAAGAAAACTTAGCAGAGCATTACCCTTCCCTTGGAGAAGATATGAATTTAGAGGATGAAGAAGGAACTGAGTAAAGGAGAGGAAGGTCTGAGCAAGAGAGAGAAAGAAGAGCCCCAGGGGGTGGAAAGGGTGATGGAGTAGCATGTGCTGGACGCTTTTTGTATAGCTATGGACTTTTTCCGTGCGCTGCAGACACTCTATTCAAGGGGGCCTCCGAACCAGGAGGAGTGCAGTGTGGATACCCCTCGGCCCCAGGGGGTGCTAAAAATATGGGGGGGGACAGATGTCCCAAAGGGGAGAGACTCTGCCTTTTGGAGTGGGACAATGCATCCTTAAAAGACAACCCTCGAGACAGCTTGGTTCCAAGTTCGGTGATGAGAGCACTGAACATGGAAAGGAAGAAGATACCATGGCTACAAGAAGGACTCCTCTCCTCTTGATGAACTGAGAATTGATTATCTGAAGGGTGGTGATGGACTGAGAGTTGGTGATCTGAGGGGCTCAGGCAACTGAATTGAGAGTCCAAGGTTTTGTCTTACTGTGATGCCTTGGGAACTTGGTTGTGGGAAGGAGGAATGTTTGGAAGGTTTTCATCCTGAGTTTTGTGTGTCTCTTTTATAGAACCACCAGACTAAAGAAGACCCAGCTCTGAATAAATACAGGAAAGCCTTGCGAAAATAAAGAAGCATGTCACAAAATACAAGTAACCAGCCTTTGCAGCTTAAACCAGAGCTGCCAAAGGCAAGTGGCATGCACGCTCGGCCTGTTCCAAGGACTCCAGCAGCTACAGATGAGCGCAGGTAAGGGGCAGCTCTGAGTGAGCCAGCACCATCCTGCTGGAAATGGAGTCCAAAGTCTTTTATGAGCAAAAGCTTGTGGGGGGGTTGATGGCCTGAAAAAGAAGGGGTTGGGGTTAATGTTGGGTGGCACCCTGGGTTTCTCTCCCACCACTTCAGTGAGTGCAAGGAGAGTGTGTGGCCACTCTCCTGCTCCAGCCTCAAGGCTTCGGCTTGAGTGTGATTTCCTCTCCCAATCCTAGAGCTCAGGTGTGTTTCTGAGATAGATATACTGATTCTTTTTAAGCAGCTGAAGTTGGCTAAAGGAAGACTCCGAGGAAAAACAGCCAGCTCTTGCTAAGCTACTGTCTGCTGTGGTAACTGTGATTTCTCTGTCTTTGGGCAGGAAACAGCTGGAGGAGTGGTTGGCAGCCAAAGGCAGGACGTACAAGCGGCCGCCGATGAGGTTGCTGATGAAGCAGGCGGTGATACCATCCTGCAGAAAGGGCAAGCCAACCGAGAAACAAGACAATCCAGAGCAGCACTTCCGAGCCCAGGCAAACAGCGTATTAACTGAGTGCCTGCAGCTCATTGAGGAGGTGAGAATAGGGAAGGAGCTGCTTAAATGAGCTTCTCCTCTCCTAAAGCCTGCCAGGGGACGAGGGCCATTTCCCTCCAGTAGCTAAGAGGGGTTGGGAACAAGTGTTCAGTGGCAAGAGGGGAAACATAGGAAAATACAAGTGCTCCTGAAGTTATGGGTAGGCCAAAGGCAGGCAGTGAGCTGTAGTAGGAGTCCTTGTAAAATGTATGTATTGTGTAAGTGGCTGTGCCCCAATCCTAGTTGTTCTAAATGAGCTCCAGCTGTGATGTACTTAATTGGGCTGCAGCTGTAGCGAATGAAGATAACTGGGATAAAAGGGGCTGGGCTTTCTGGTCAGGGAGAACCTTGGAGGAGCCCTGGCGAAGCAGCAGGAACAACACTGCTGGGAAGAACTGCTCATAAGGTACGGGACTCCAGAAATACAATAACAGCAATATGAATACAATAGTGAGCTGACTGGGAGAAGGGAGAGACCAGACCAACACTGACCACTAGCCCTGCTCCAGGGTTTACTGGCCCCAGTTATGCCAGCACTGGATTCTCTCCTTTGACACCCCTCTGGAATACTAGACCAAATTATCCAAGGGAGGGATAGGAGATTTGCAAAGCCAGACTTTTGAGGGCCTCCTCCTGGAGAGTGCTGTGAGCTGTGGTCAGGCACGGTCTGCTTCCTCCTGGTGCACACACTCGTCCATGCCATGGACACCTTTCTTCAGACCCTTACCCTTCTCCTTGCAGGGTGTCCATGCAGAGGAGATCTCAACAGTGCTGTCCCTTGTGCCCCAGGCAGAGAAATTTGCCAAATTCTGGATCTGCCAGGCAAAGCTGCTGGCCCGGAGTGGCCCCTTTGATGTGTTGCAGCTGTACAGAGAAGCAGTCAGCGCTGGGGCTGAGGTGAATGTTCCCTGCCTCTGCTCTGGAAGGGTTCCACAAGATCCAGGGGCCGGGTTTTGGAATGCATTTAGCAGCATTAGTCACTGGTGAAAAAGTCTTTTAGAGCTGCCAGTCCCTTCCATGCTGCAGGATGTGCCCATGCTGGGTGGGCACCTGGCCAGCTGTGCTGGGTGCTGATGGATCCAGCCACTGGGCAAAGGGGAATACTGCAGCCTCTTCCTATCCTCAGCACAGGCTGAGCGGCAAAAGCCTTTCCTCCCATTCACCTCTAACTCTGGTCTCCATTCCCATGCCAGACCTGCCCTGACCCGTGTTCTGCTTTTCCTGCAGCCAGTTGAAGATCTCCGAGAAACTGCTCTCAATATTTTGAAGGATGCAGGCCAAAAACTGGAAGGTAACCTGAGCATTGTGGGGTTGATGAGCATGGGCACTCCCTGGTGTTGCCAGCCTGGAGGCAACACGGTTTACAGTCTGTCCCAGCACCTCGTGTCCCTCTTAAGGAGTGTTGTGAAACTCTGGAATCCTGATCTGAAAATGGGACACTGTTCTTCTGCCTGAGCCAGGGAGGGTCCTGGCCCTGCAAGCCTCTGCCCCTGTCCAGAGTGCCGAGGTGTAACCCCTAGCCAGTGCTGTAACTGTGCTGCCCTTTTCTATAGTAGAGGTGGCCTTTGAGTCCCAGTAAAATATCTGTATTGTACTTCAATATCTGTCTGTAGGCCTTGCCCCAGTAGGTCCCAGTTGATCTTGATGGCCTGCAGCTGCAGTGTCCTTCATTGGGCTGCAGCTGTGGCTAGTGAAGGTAGCTGGGATAAAAGGGGTGGGTTGGGCAGTCAGGGAGAGCCTGGAAGGAGCCCTGACTAAGAAGGAACAACATGCAGAAGAAGGAGTCTGTGCTGTGAAGTTTTACAGCCATAAGAAAACACCAAAGGAAGGTATGGGACTCTAGAAATATAACAACAACGCTTTTCCTTTTTCTGCCAGGA